ATTTTATATTTATCTTAAACGTGTATTTTAGTCTTTTCAATGTTTTCTTGCTTTTATCTTGTATTGTTTTTGTAGTATTGTCTTTTGGGTATTATTGTCTTTACACTTGTTATTTTATGCAGTTTGTGCACAATATAAGTCAGAACCAACACTGTTTTATTTCAGCTATTAACACATAGACTAATAAACATTACCACATAATCAATAACTTAATTTTGGTAAAAATGCTTAATAATTTGCTTTGAAAAAAAACCCTTAAGACTGTCAAACTCATACACAGGGTTGGGGAGTAACGGATTACATGTAACGGCGTTACGTAATCAGGATACAAAAAAAATGTAACTGTATTCCTTACAGTACAGAAAATAAAGATGTAATCAGATTACAGGTACATTTTGTAATGATGGGGATTACTCATAGGGATTCCTTTAAGCAGAAAGTTTCCACGAAACAAAACGCTGTGCTATTTGCCACTATATATGCAGACATTGATTGGCGTTTACAGTCGCCATTTGCGGTGAATGTGTGTTTACGCCTCCGCCCCATCATGCAGATTCTGGTTCCAGCTCCCAGTGAGTGAACACGCAGCTGGACCAGAACCGAGCACAGCCTCCGAGACCGACAGAGGCCAATTTGACCACTGGGGATACAGTACGAGTGTAGTTTTCTTGCTGGGTTTGGCTCTTTGCAACCCGGGGCTGAGTAAGCTTATATGGCCGCTAGCAGCTGTGTTCGGTCCTGTTCATGCTGTGTTCACTGGGAGGCTGCTGAGCGAGGTTTTGTTGCCCGCTCGCCCGTTTACGGTTCCCAATCAGGCACCGCAACCCATGTAACTTAAACACCTTTATAACATTACAGTCTATGGTAAACACTAAAACTACCCCGGTGATCCGATCTCCCAGTATGGGCAGAGTAAACTTATTTTACCAGTAGTTGCACAGCTAACTGAGCTAATAACAGCAGCTAGTTAGCTTGTTAAACTTCAACAACAAGTAAAGCTATCTGTCCATCAGGAAACTCAGACACAGAGTTGAGGCAGAGCAGCCGGGGGACATCAGAGAGAAAACTAGAAAAATATTTTCTCCATATTTCTAATATTTCTCTTTCAAATAAGATAAGAAAGCTGTGTTTTTGTACAGTAATGAGTGGGGCCCGGCCCCATAAACACTATGCTTCAGCAGCTTTATATTGTTTTCATGCTAAATTAATACAAGTGCAGAGTGAGTAATCAAAATTGTAAAATGTTTTCCCAAATGACAAACAATACAAAACAATGTTTTTTTCATTGATGGGCGAGATACTGCCATAGTGGTCACATAGTGCAAAGCATATCATATAAAAACATTTAAATATGGATTTTGGGAACAGGAAATTTTGTTATTCTATGTTTCTTTAAAAATACACTGAGCAGAAAACACATCATTGATACATCTCTTGTTTTCATTTGCCTATTTGGCATTGAAACTAAAAGTAATCAGATTACATTACTTTTATTATTTGGTACTTGGATTACGTTACTGATTACATTTTTAAACAAGTAATTAGTAATTGTACCGGATTACATTTTTAAAGTAATCCTCCCAACCCCGCTCACACATGATAAACTACTATATAACAGAGAACGTTTCAGTACAGAGTAGGGCACTGAGCATTATTTCTGTTTAAAATGTTCACATAAAAGTATAAAATCCTGGTGATCTGACTCTAAGAATAATCCAGTCTCTTCGGATTAAATGTTTTAATTTAAGACAACAACAACAACAACAGTTATATGTTTATAATGTGCAGGGATACAGCTGATTTGGTAAATGGGATGGGTGTAAACTACAAGCAGTGAAAAATCACAATGTGTTAATTGTGCTGACACCAAGAGACAGAAACGGTCGTTCTCATTTGGCGAAGTGATACTGTCTCATTTAAATATTATTTGGTGCAATATATCAAATCAGACTCATGAATGACTTTATGCAGATAATACCTTCCTTTTTAAAAAATATACTTTTAATCATTTCTAGGTATGTGTTATCCAAGGATGACATTAGTAATAGCAAAGAACAAAAACCATCCAAAAGTAATATGGTAAAAATAAACTAACTTCACTTACTGTGAAACTCACCAATGTTGCTAACTTATTTGTCAAAGAAAGGAAGTTTCTGTTATAATCCAGTCTACATGATAAAAATCAATCAACGATCAACACAAGCACATTAACCACCTGAGGTCCATATTGAAACATCTCATGAGAGAAACTGAGAACCAGACAGACTGAGAGCAGTAGCAGAGTAAAACCAGTAGCAGAGTAAAACCAGTAGCCCAGTGAATCGGGTGTAAAAAAAAGATCAAACTTGACAAAACAAACTGTCACAAATCACTGGATCAGTTTACTACCAGACTTCTCAATGTTCTCTCCATGTAAATATGTAAATATGTAGGGCAGCGTTCTCGGCACTGAGGGTGAAACACCATATGTATGTATATGAAATATATATGTCTACTGTTGATGAGTTGAAAAGTGGATAAGTTAGAGGTAACAACATATAATATAATAATAATATAATAATAATAATAATAATAATAATAATATATTTGTTTAGTTTTTAAAATAGAATATTTATTTCCATGTAAAATTATTTAAATGTAATTTAAAATTCATCTAAGCCAACTACGCTCCTGATCTGTTACCTTCACAATAACATGAATGAAAACAACTAATTTCATTTTATTGTGTAGAAATAACAATCAAGTAAACTTTATCCATGAAACGTGATTAGAGAGGAAAGAAGGAGACAGACGTATACCATATACCAGCTTCAGCCTCTGCTCTTGACTTGTCATTTCTTTATTTGAGAAAATCTGGATATTATATACAACCAAATCTGTCGTCAATGCGCATTAAAATAACGTCACTATTCATTGTCAGCAGACCATATTAAACTCATTTTCCTCGTTGGAATGAAAAACAAAATCACTGAAACAGTTTATTACCAGACTTTTTAGTATCCTCTTCATGTAAATATGTAAATATGTATATCAACGCTCTCAGCACTGAGGGGGAAACACCATGATATGTTGAGGACAGCTACAGCTCACTGACTCTGTGAAGAATCACACTGCAGATACTGAAACTATGATGATCAGGTGAGATTCAATCCCAGGCTGCTGCAGTAAGGAGTCAGCCTTGTTCATGGGGCACGACCTCTACCAACTGTTACTTTCACTATAACAGAAATGAAAACAACTAATTTGATGAACTGGTCTTTATTGTGTAGAAATAATCAAAATTAAATCCAGTAAACAAACTTTAACCATGAAACATGTGATTAGAGAGTGACTTAAAGAAAGAAAGAGACACAGACACAGAGAGAGTTACAGAGTTCAGAGAGCAGAGTAAAACCAGTAGTAGAGTCCCAGTGAGTCAGGTCAGGACTGGGAACACTGGTCTCTCCTCAGTGTCTCTGAGACCAGAGCCTGGGAGCCCTGGGTGGCCTTGCAGGTCACAGAGCCCACCTTCCTCCACTGGTCTGCAGGGAGCCTCAGGGTGCTGCTCCAGCTGTAGCGGCCGTCCTTCTCCAGCACCCCGGGGCTCCTGCTCTCCTCCCAGCTGCTGCTGCTGCTGCTGCCGTCCACCTTCCAGGCCAGACTCCAGTCTGAGGGGAAGCCCTTGTTGGCCAGGCACATGAGCGTGGCCTTCCCCTGCTGCAGCTCCTCACTGGAGGGGGGCAGCACCGTCAGGGTGGGACGGACATCACCTAGGAGACACCAATCAGCTTAGAGGACACCTTTACTGTGTGAGAGCTGATTTTCTCCTTTAAGGAGTTTCTGTCAGATGTTTTTTCTGCTCCACCAGTCACTCACTCACACATTGTTTCACTTCCCTTTAAGAAGCCTCTCATGCAAATCAGCACAGAGAGAATCATCATACAGAACGACCTGAAATATATCAAACTACACTGGAAATAAAAAGACAGACCTTCACGTTAAAACTGTAAAACTTCATAAGCATAACTGACTGAAGTATTTAGTGGAAGTATAAATAAACAGAAAATGAACCGACTGCATTCAAATGTTCTTCATCTGTATTTCAATCACATTTCAACATTTTAAAGTAACCCATCTTGATCTTTGCTCTGTTCAATTAAATAAAATGAATTAACTTTTACTTAAACAGTTATTTTTGTGGTATAAAATGTTATACTAACCTTAGCGATCATTTTTACATTAAGATTAAAATTTATCTTCTCTCCAACCAAATATCAATTTTAAAACTTTACAATATTTATTTTGTATTTGAAAACTTACTTCCAACATCCAGTCTGGTTCCTCCACCAAAAGTCCAGCACAACAGTGATACAAACTCATTGAGCCGGCGTACAAAAACCTCTCACTGTAGAGAGACACGGCTCTCTGACTTTGTCAGACTAATCTAAAGCTATCAAGATGCAAATTTAACTTAACAGTTGGAAAGACGGACTTAGAATGTTAATTAAATTACAATTTTGAATATATATTGTTGAAGTGAACTTTGTCTTAGTGCCAAATATGCATGGAAAAGTTGAAAAGCAACTACAAATTTTCACTACAGTATTGAATATACATTAATATAAATAATAATATAAACATGTTTTGATTTGATATGTTAATTTTGAATTATTATTTTTTTATCCTATCCAAGATATTGGCAAATATCTTCCACCTCCATGCTTCTAGAAACAAAATATGTCTAGAAGCATGAAACCAAAATGAAGTAAAATAGTTTTTATTTTTTAAATGTCTTATCAATACTCAGGTAAATTGATTGATCCATTGATAAACAGCATCATCAGAGTAATCCAAGTCCCTGTTGAAGTCAGTCAGAGCATTTCCATAGAGAGCCACTTTGCATCAGCAGCACCATGCTCCAGTGCTCTGGGAGAGTTTATAGTCCTGAGAGTTGAACACTGGATGACTGACAGCTGTCCTTCATGACAACAGAAGCCACAGAAATCCTCCTCATCAAAAACATGACTTTGATCTGCGTCCTCATCTGGACTCTCCTCTGCTGCTGCTTCACAGGTAAAGTCCAGAGAATCAAAATCCTCTCCTCTATGAACATCCGTCCCTCTGAAATGAAGCCCACAAAACCATGACGCTGCTTTATGTTTTTGTCTCTGTATCCTCAGAGTCCAGAGGCCAGGTCACAGTGACTCAGCCTGGAGCAATGCGCTCTGCTCTGGGAGGCTCCGTCTCCATCAGATGTAGGACCAGTCAGGATGTTCTTGTCTATAACAACAACCACCTTTTAGCCTGGTACCAACAGAGAGATGGAGAAACTCCTAAACTCCTCATTTACTATGCTAGCACTCGAGCATCAGGGATTCCAGGTCGTTTTACAGGCAGTGGATCAAACTCTGACTTCACTCTGACCATCAGTGGAGTCCAGACTGAAGATGCAGCAGTTTACTACTGTCAGAGTGTTCATAACATCAACAGTCAGTGGTTGTTCACACAGTTAAAAAGTGTCGTACAAAAACCTCCCTCAGTCAAACTGAACAGAAACTGAAGTGACTGCTGCAGCTGGAAGCTACTGCAGAGACTGATACACTTCACTGAGGACACACACACACACACACACACACACACACACACACACACACACACACACACACACACACACATACTGTCATATGTGAGGTTGAAGATTTCACAACTTTTGCTTTAACCACCAATGAACATGTAGCAAAATAATATGACAAAAAATAGGAAATCAAATTACTTTCTCCATCACAGCTTCTCAACATCCATTCAGATCTTTTTATGATCCCACTGTCTTTTCTGATTTGCCAAATAATCCAGAGTAGCCAGCCTGGAAAAGCAGATAAGAAAAGTCTTGTTCATGACCTTTGACCTCAGCCTCATACTGGATTAAAGCAAATTCATTATATACATTTAATTAGAAATATGAAGACACAGATTGACATCAGAAACATTCAGGATCAGAGACTGCCCAACACAACCAGTACATCCCTGAAAGCACAAAATAGTATTTTAAATATATAAACTTCAATCATAAAAATTCAAAAGAAAGAAGTAACCTTCTTGATGTAACTATATCCGCATATACTAAATAATATCGAATAACACATTTTCTCCAACATGCAAATCAAAACTCCACAAATACACTGAGACTAAATTTTTATTCTTAACCTTGGAAATGGCAAAACAAAACTCCCCACAACATCCATCCACTAACTGTTGTGGAGCTTTCAATCACATCACATGATCTTTCTTAGCAGATGGAGTCACCCAGTTTTCAGGAAAATGTAGATTTTCAAATTCCTATTTCTCTGCATTTTTAGGACTTCTTGGCTTCAAAGTTAAAATATTCCATGACAGCTGGGTGAACTCCATCTGCTGAGGAAGATCATGTTATAAAAACAGTAATGTAACTGATGATGACTTCCATGTTTTCTGGTTGGAGTTTCTTAAGGAAGCTCTCTGAGATCGTCAGACTCAGCATCCCCTCAAACACCCAACACTACTTTACTTGAAGAACTTTCCATATTACAGACACCTAAAGATGTCAAACCTACATTGATATTAATGTCACTAATCATGGTCTAAAACACCATATTACCATATTACATGTAGAGGAAGTTTTCAGTATCATCTACATGTAAATATGTAAATATGTAGATCAACGCTCTCAGCACTGAGGGGGAAACACCATGATATGTTGAGGACAGCTACAGCTCACTGACTCTGTGTGTTTGCATATGTGTCCTGCCTCTCTGCTCCCAGCCGTTAAGAGGCCAGTGTTGATCAGTGGCTGTCCAGGCCTTTCAGAGCCACTGACACGCCGGCAGCACAATGATGATGTCACTGATTCTACTGCTGGCCACCCTGGGGCTCCTTGTTCAGGGTGAGACTCTCTTCTGAAAACTTTGCTTCAGGATGCAACCAGGTTCACCACAATGATGTTCTGCTGTGATGGAGAAACACTGAAACAAGCAGCATTTACCTTCTTCCATCTGTTCTCCATGTTAAAGAAATGAGACTCTTCTGTTTGGATGTTGATCATCTTTCTCCAAACTGGATTTGTCTCAATAACCCTTCTCCTCTTTTTCATGTTTTCCAGATTCATCAGGAGAAATCATCCTGACTCAGTCTCCTGGATCTCAGTCTGTTGTTCCAGGACAGACTGTCTCTCTCAGATGTAAAGCCAGTTCACTTATAGGTGATGACATTAACTGGTACCTTCAGAAAGCTGGAGAAGCTCCAAAACTCCTCATTTATGATACTACAGCTCGTCAGCCTGGAGTTTCAGATCGTTTCAGTGCAACAGCCCAACAGACTGACTTCACTTTGACCATCAGAGGAGTCCAGACTGAAGATGCAGGAGTTTATTACTGTCAGCAGCGTAACAGCTTCCCACTCACACAGTGATACAACGTCGTACAAAAACCTCTCGCAGCTGGAGAGGAACTGATTCAACAGCTGCACAGAAAATTAAACATAAGACATGACAAAAATATTTCTCATAATTATGTGTAAATTAATAACATTTCAAACATGACAGTACTGCATTTATGGACCATGATTTTGGGTGAAGAATACATTTATAAACTTCTCTAACTTTTAGTCAACTGATGTCAACTGTGTCATTAGACAGTTCATACAGATGACAATTCTTACTCTTTTTAATAAATTCAACACAAAACTCAGTGCAAAAGTAAATCACTACAAATGAAATTGTACTATAAAACTCAGAAACTAAATGTTTAATAATGAAATTTAATCCACTTTGTAAATAGTAACCCATTAGAAATCATCTTCATCTTTTGTTTTTACATTTGTGCTTGAGATGTTACTAAAATACGTTTATGTTTCAGATTGCCTGAATGTTATATCCATTTATGCTGATGTTTCCTGTTATTCTTTTCCTGTGCTGTAAAACTATATATATTCTGTTTTACAGTTATGTAAAGGTAATTTTGAACAGGACTTTCACTTATCTTTCTTATCCACATAAATATGCTTTATTATAACATTGAAAAATGAAAACATTATCATGTTGTACTTATGTAGTTATATGATTTCAGACATTTTTAATAAAATTAAAATTAAAGACTAGAAAATGTCTATTAATAAGCTCTGACAGTAGTTTAATAATTTTAATTTTAAAAAGAATAATACTTCTGTTTAAATAATAACATCCTCAGAAACATTTTGATTTGAACAAAACCATCTTTATTATCTGAAAAAGATAACAGAGTCAGCGTGACTATGAATAAGAAAATAGTATTATTTAAAACTTTTATCTGAGAGAGACAGAGTTACAGAAAGCAGATTAAAACCAGTAGCAGAGTCAGGTCAGGACTGGGAACACTGGTCTCTCCTCAGTGTCTCTGAGACCAGAGCCTGGGAGCCCTGGGTGGCCTCACAGGTCACAGAGCCCACCTTCCTCCACTGGTCTGCAGGGAGCCTCAGGGTGCTGCTCCAGCTGTAGCGGCCGTCCTTCTCCAGCACCCCGGGGCTCCTGCTCTCCTCCCAGCTGCTGCTGCTGCTGCTGCCGTCCACCTTCCAGGCCAGACTCCAGTCTGAGGGGAAGCCCTTGTTGGCCAGGCACATGAGCGTGGCCTTCCCCTGCTGCAGCTCCTCACTGGAGGGGGGCAGCACCGTCAGGGTGGGACGGACATCACCTAGGAGACACCAATCAGCTTAGAGGACACCTTTACTGTGTGAGAGCTGATTTTCTCCTTTAAGGAGTTTCTGTCAGATGGTTTTTCTGCTCCACCAGTCACTCACTCACACATTGTTTCACTTCCCTTTAAGAAGCCTCTCATGCAAATCAGCACAGAGAGAATCATCATACAGAATGACCTGAAATATATCAAACTAATTGACAACAATCAAATGTTCTTCATCCAGATTTCAATCATTACCAAAGTGTTTCTACACTTACATGAACAGCTTTAGTGATGAGGTGAACCAAATACACAATATGCAACATTTTGAAACACCCATTTTTATATTTCCTCTGTTCAATTTTACGTGGAGAAAGTGAATTGTATTTAATCATCCATCCATCGTCAACCGCTTATCCTGCGTACAGGGTCGCGGGGTTGTATTTAATCATAACTAGTTATTATTGTTATTGTTTATCTGTTCTCCACTTCAAGCTGTTTGAATTTCAGTGTGAGTAATGTGTAAAGAAATGTTTAGTAAAGCTGCTGGTAAATGAGGAGAAATAAAACCCAATCAATGAAACAAACAAA